TTGCACAGCACCAAGTCAAAACTAAGCTGTTTACCTGACCTTCCCAGAAACCAAGTGAGAGAGAGACAATAGCCAAATCCCCACACAAGTCAGTTTTAGCTGGCCTGATAAGGAAGTGCCCCCTGCTTTAACTTTTACAAGGAAAGTAACTTTGAAATACCAATCCACTTTCTGTTCTCTGTTTCTACTTTCCTCAGCGCTTTCTGCCTATAAAGCTGACTTGCTCTGCTCAGCTCACTGGAACGCTCATTCTGTTTTATAGAATGAGGTGTTACCCAATTTTAGAATTCCAAATAAAAGCCAGCTAGATCTTTAAACTAAATTTGTTGTAATTTTGTCTTTTGACAATATAAAACATACTATGGACAAACTACAGAAATCGTAAAATACTCCTAAATGTATCAATTCGGTCAAGAAAAATGCTTTAAAATATGGATAATAATGTTACATTGACAGGAAAGCCCACCCAGAGTTTCCACCTCCAATGGCCAGGGCTGAGCACAGCATGGAACCTTCCCTTTCCTTCCTTGGCCTGCCATCAAGGGCAAGCTAAGGTGTATAAACATACTGAAGATTTTTCTTTTCCTAATGTGGTTACAACTAGCAGTTTTCCACCAAAGTTATCTAAATTTCATTTATAGATTTTTTTCCTTTTGTCAGAGAGACATCTATTTTGGATTCCTATCATACACCACAACCACATACTTACTGAAAAATAACTTGAGACAATTAAGGGATTCCTGGTCTTGAAAATAGATATGAAAACTTAACATTTAGACAGACGTCCTATTGCCCATTCAAAAAAGCTGCCTTTGATTAACTGTCTTTACCTTTGCTTGCTCAGGAAAAAGTATTCATTACGACAGTCAAGTTTCAGGCCTTTTAAAATTACTATGTACATTGTAAAGCTATTAGATTATCAGAAGAACAAATAGCACTACTCTCATGTCCAAAATTGCCATTAGAATTACATGCTTTTCTTCTTTTCAGTCTGAGATACAGTTTGGCATTCTGTCTATGTTCCACTGCACAGTAAGCACTCCAAGAGCCCACAGAGACCTCAGTAGAAGCAAAACCATTGGCTTCTGTTAATTAAAATACACATAAATACCAGCTGAGTTGACCCAAATGGAGACCCCGCCATGGGTCCAGTGCCCAGGAAAGCCACCCTTTTCCAGGCCTCTTTTTTCCACATCTTCTTGCCTCCATCCAGATTTTCACTCTATCACATCTCTATGCTAATTTGGAAGAGTGGGAGTGCTTTGTTCTAGAAACAAATCTTGTCTCATCTGACTTTCACAGCTGTGCTTCTCAGTCTTTCCATCAGAGTAGTCCCCGAGGCTGAGGAGGGTGAATTCGTGCTATCCTTCCTACCTACCTGTGAACGTACTCACTGAATACTTTGCAGCCATAAAAATAAACAGGAACGCTCTTAATGTTTTGATATGGAACAGTCTCTGATGTAACAGGAGGACCAATATTTGCAAATAAAAAATTTCTCTTGGTTTCATGTTTTAAAAGGATCAACTTGAATTTTTTGTTCTGTAGTACATGTCCATGTTTTAAAAAAAGAAAAATACTATCTCACTCCTCCACCTGACCCCCTGCCCTTGCAGCCTCACGTCAATTTTATGTAAAGTTGGCAACTCAGAAACATATACTGGATTTATTCTGTGGCTTCCGCTACCTATTTTGGCATTGTCCTTGTATCGTAGTGGCCCAGCTCCAGAAACGGACTCTTGCTAACGGGGCTCTTTATGTCATCCTCTGATAATTGTTGCCTTAGAGAGGTATTCCTCTTTCTCCAAGGGCTTCTGTGCTCTCATTCTTATCTATACACTAACTGTGCGCCCTTCCAGATAAACTGCTGTCATTCCTACAAATCCCCTAAGACTTTAGAATCCACAGTTCTGCTGTGAACAGAACCGGAAACCTTTCTCACGCCCTTTGACAACCTTCATGCCTCAAAAATCTCCCCAAAGAAACTTGAACTATTTTTGTCTCCAGGATGAGGGTCATCCTCCTCACCCTCTGTGGTTTGTCTAAATTTCTATTCCATCATCAGGCAATTTTTTCCTCTTCGGTAACACAACTGCCTCTTCCTCAGTGTTGCTCTTGTTCCTAAAATTCCCCAGGGAAGCTGACCTCCTTTCTACCTTCTTACATTATATCTAGTTTTTGTCCTCTGTAGAGATATAATATTAATCTCGCCATCATTATATAAAGTATATTTAAATAGTTCCACATTTTTCCTGTCTCACTTCTTTATATCCCCTCGTAAGACCAAATTCACCATCTTCAAATCTTCCCGAAACTGTATGAGCTCTAGGCTAAGCCCCAGGAAATCCTTGGTGCTCTGACGGATTCCATAGGAAATCCTCGCATTACTCAGACTGCAAGGAGAGGGCTTTGTGAACTTGTGTGAAGAATCGCTTCTTGGTTCACCACAGTTCCTTGCTGCCTGGTTTTTACCATCTCGCTTTTTTTTTTCTTTGAGACCGGGTCTCATTCTGTCACCCAGGCTAGAGTGCAGTGGCGTTATCATAGCTCACTGCAACTTCAAAATCCTGGGCTCCAGGGATCCTCTTGCCTCAGCCTCCCAGAGTACTAGGATTATGGGTGTGAGTTTGTCACTCTAATGGAAGTTAGTGTTTGTTCTGGGACGGTCAGATCTACTCCTCCCCGAAGTCTTTGGTGCTAGGGTTTTGGTTATGTGGGCTAATCCAGATGCCTGGGGGGCCTGGTTGGACCGACAGAAAAGCAAGAAGCTGGCTTCCTGGGGTGAGGAAAGTGAGGCAAGATTTAAAGTGAGTGGGGAGAGTCATGCACGTTCAGGATGTTTTATTTAAAATTTTGATTTTTTTATTATCATGAAGTTTTTGCATTAATTTTGAGTTTTTAAAATATTGCATAATAATATTATTTATCTTGATTACTGGGTTTTTTTAGCTCCCCTTTCAATGTTGTGCCCAAGACAAATGCCTCACTCTCCTAACTCTCATCCCCTCTTTGTGGGTCTGTTGCAGGGACAAGCCTGGCGTCACGAGCGTGAGGTCTGTGCAGTCGCATAGGGTCTGCTCTTGGTTTAATGCTCTGCTGTCTTGAAATTCTTAATAATTTTTGGACAAAGACCCCTGCATTTTCATTTTGCACTGGGCCCTGCAAACTATATAGCTGGTCCCGAACAGCAAAGTAAGTTTAAAGTTGAACGAAGAATCGAGTTGCATGTTGTCTTTCTTCAGGGGAAATTTCAGTTGCAGCTCTCACGCTACAGCTTTCCTGGTTCCTGTTGTCATTGCTTCCACTTCAACCAACCAGGCTCTGTTCTCATAGCGCTTCCCGGTGTTGTCTCCTATTAGCAACCATGTTTGGTTTTTCAGCTACTTTGTGGGGAGAAAATGCTCACTGCCTCTATCTGGAAGACTAGCTTGGTTCTGTGATTCATCAGAAATAAGAAAAACAAACACTGTAAATGGAGAACTTGAAAAACAGGTGGGCACCATCTCCCCACCCAAGAGAATGGATTTAAGAGGAAATTTGTTTATGGGATGAGGTTTTAAAAGGCGACCTGGAGAATTTAGCAAAGATGTAAATAAACAACTCTTCTTTGGATTGCATTAGGCTTCAGAATAAATATATTAACCAGCTTCAGTCAAAGTCTGCCTAGAGTCTGACCTTGACAAGACCCAGTGACTAGTGCTGCTC